AGATAGGACAAATTATGAAATTATGTTGATGATGTTTCCGACTTGAGCCCGGCAGGGAAGATGCTATTCTTAAATAATTTAGCCCTGCATTACAGATAGAAAACTTGGTTTGCATTCTATCAATGACAACCATATTCACGTTGTGAACACCAAGAAAAGAAATGAAATGATGATTTAATTACCTTAGTGAATCATAACCAAGGCAGCACCATTCACACCATCTTAAAAAATTAACATTGCTTTTCTCGGATCCACTCAACGAAATTGTCCAAAATTAAGGGCCAAGCAAGTTCGGCATCATAATTGTTAAGATATGGGAAGTTCATCTACAACAGATGATGGTAACATGTCATGCAAGTTTATCTGGAACAAAGGAAGGTTAGATGTAAGCATTTCATCATTCAAGAAAACATAGAAACAACACCTTCTGGCAGTAAACTGTACGTGGGTACAAATGACAGCAGTGCGGGACTCTTCTGGATAGCAGGTAATCCACCTAAACTGGGCTCAAAAGACTTTTGGGGTGGATTCAAATAGGTGTATGTACCTGAGTCCAGTTTGGGTTCAGGTTCTGATGCTCACAGGGTTTGCCACGTTCAGCTTTGAGCAGCAAGTATCCTACTCATTGTCATTCCTAATGTGAGCAAGAGATGACCGCAGATTTAAGCGGGTTGGCATTTTCAGAATACCAGTCAAACAATGTAAACCAGGTTTGGGTACCCACAACCAGCACATGTAAGGAGGTAGGTATCATATCAGATATAGTCGGGTTCCTCCATCGTCAAGTTTGAGTTTGGGTTTTGGGTTCAGGTTCAGGTGAATCTGCATTTAATCGACCTGTTTCATCCCTAATCCCTATACATAGGATAATGAAAATCTCAACACATATGGATCAAAATGTACCTCTTTACAAAATCTGAGAAAGCTTGTCCGCTGGTCCAGGTTTATGACCGAGTAATCAAGTTGGTACTGCAAGTTGGCATGTCCACGAGTATCAGATTACCGATTCAGATCACAGAAAATAAGGGCATACTAGGATTGTTAGCAAAGAAATAACAGAAAATACAATTGGATATTAGACCATGGTCTAAGGGGATAGACAAAAGCTGAAAGCATTAATTAGTAATTACCTTAAGATATTTGACGAACTTGTCAACTTGAGGCCAGAATTGGAAGCCTAGTATAAGATCGAGCAGTTCACATGCACTTCTGTTTTTCCTCTACATAAGAATACATTACATAGTTCGAGAATATCAGGTAAGATATGTCTTCTCATCACATACATACATACATACATACATATATATATATATATATATATATATATATATATTAAGAGCCATGAGAGACTGATAACTCTACCGCCTGTAGTCCAGAATGAGAAGAACATTGGTACTGAATGCATTATGATTTGTGTCTACAAATACACATAAAAGTAATGGTGATAAAGTCTGACTCTATCAATCCAAAAGAGGCATCTGCATATGCATAGAAGAGGTTGTCAATCCGTTCCACCTCCTTGAAACATCTTTACTAAAGGCTAAACAGCAAGAAATGAAGAAAAACTGAGATAAATTGGCCGCATCGAAAAGTGGATGATGGTAGTATACAAGCAAGAAACAAAGGAGTGGGGGAGACAATGGTAGAAGTTTTCAAACATGGGTATGTATCTAACAGTGACTGACAGTTTTCAATCAAAATCAAAAGAGCATCACTGAGCTTCATTATCTTTGATATCACAAGAATTAATGGAATGTGATTGGCATTCAGTACTTCATTGAATTACTTCTTTTAGTTAATAGAATATTCAAGATGGTGCCATGATTGTTACTTCAAAAGATAGCAGGAAAGTTGACAATGCAGCCATGGATCAGACTAATTTATATGATCTTTTTTACACCTTTTGGTTAGATTTCAACACGTCCACATTCAACAGAAAAAAGCATGGTTAACTGATTATAAAGCCAACTCCAGTGTCCCTGAAAGCAAAGGCTGAAAAGAATAAGAGCATCAATGAAAAAAATCTATATTTCAACCATCAAAGTTATGTGCTGGTCAAATCAGTTAAAGAAAGTTATGGCAAATTCCCAACTATTTTACAGCCGCTCCCTGTTTCAGCTAATTCCAGGTTGTTCTAAAACGAAAAGATAAAAAGTAGATCCCACGATGAAATTCAGCTAATCCTGGATGGTAAGAGTTACAGTTCTGATCTTGGGATCTTGCTTGTTCTTTGTTCTTATTCCTATCTCCTTCAAAAGATGCAATACATTGATACCTAAAATTAGTGATGGACACAAAAGGACATGTATTTGACAATACAATATACATTACCTAGAAAAAGCCTTGTTCCAAAAAACTGAAAACCAAGCCACATGTAGCCCCAATATTATATCGTCTTCAACTATCCTACGTTCAATCCCTGGCGTGAGACCAGGCGGTGGACATATTTTTGATTCAGAGCATCACGATCCTAACAAAGAACCCTTTTCCTCATATACATGTAAAGCAATTCAACAAACAACACCAATTCGTCTGACCCGAGAATCAAAAGCAACAGAAGGTTCAAGATTTAAACCCTTTAAACAGTATCCCATGATCGCAGCCAGCAGAAGGCTAGTCAAATTCAATGAGGTAACGGAACCAAGTCACACAAAAAGCGTCGTACACCAACCCCACCAAACGAAACGAGAAACACAGAGAGACGATTCATCGAGTTCCAAACAACGGCGGGATGGATCTAGGTTACCACTCACCCGAGCGGCAGGCAACGGAGGAAACCGGGGAAGCGTTGACCGGGGCGGCGGAGCCGGATTTCCGCGTGGAGGATCGCCACATCGCCCCTCCGGACCAATCGAGGCGAGGCGGAGCAGCAAAACGGTGGCCTTTTGGGTGTGTGTGTTGTTTGTTTTAGCGAAAGAGAAAATATTGAGTAATCTTTTTGAATAAAAAAATTATTGTAAATATACAATTTTTTTCTTTAATTTAATATATCCCAAAAACTCTATTCTTATTGTCTTTGATTTTTTTTTCCTTATAGAAAACTGAATAAAAATTATCATTATCATAAAAAAAAAGTTACCACTGGAGTTGCAATCTAATCAACATAGTGTTGGCATGCTACATACATTATGAGCTACATGGGTCAAATATTGTTTTATGCTTTGGTATGCTCATTCACCATTAATAATAATAATAATAATAATAATAATATAATAATAATAATTATTATTATTATTATTATTATTATTTAAAGAAAAAATCAAGCTTTCTGAAGTACTACTCCTCCTTTCTAAATGGACATCAACATGGTGCCAAATTATCATCATTGTATTTACTAATTGATAAAGTATTAAGAGGAAATTTAGAGGGAAAAAAATCAAAATTAATGTCTCTTCATAGAACTAACTTGTAATAAGAAAAAGCTCTAATTTTTTTATGTTCCTAAACTAAAAAGAACTCTATATTATTAGATCAACAAAAGCAGATAACTAAATTAGGTGTTGGAATTTTTTATTTGCAAGTTAATTATTGAGAATTGGAGAAATATATAATATAGTTTTGCTTTTATTATGTTTTATTTGTATAATTATCTAAAAATCTAGGGCTTTTGAGGAGGTTCTTTTTGGGGGGTATTTTCAGAGGGTTTTCTTGAATTTATAACTCATAGTTTGTGTTTTGTGTGATGGATTTGATTACTAAAATCTTAATTACTAAAATCAACTTGATATGTTTCAGGATGAGTTTGATTAATTGAATCCATATATTTGGTTTAATTTCCTCTCTGCTATATCCCTCCATTTGTGATGGTTGGGATGGATGCAAACCATCAACAATCCAATAGAGGAGGGTGTTTGTATTATTTCCTCTCAGATTTATTCATTGGTTGAAACATATTTTTCTGATTTGTTCTCTTTTCGCAATGCAATTCCATTGATGGGAAGATGATTGTGATTTAATGGTGACAATGGCTCATAATTCAGTTAGTAATTTATATTATTGTTAAACTGTCATTATGGTCATTAGACTATATATATATATATATATATTATCCAAATAATACAATAATATATCCACTAAGCTTTGTTAAGCGATACCAATTTGTTCATCTCAAGGATTTGTTGTTAAAATTAAGATCATGCCACAAAGTTTTGCCTGTCATAAAAAAAGTGTAACATCAAAACAGAGTAGGAATCATATGACATGAATTTAAATGATTAAGAGTGTGCAAGACAATAATGACTACATAAGGCACGCTTCCTTCCTTTTAATCATGTCAGTAAAGAATAATAAAAGACATGCAAAAGCATGGTATATTTTGGCACGTACAACAGTAGACATGCATGCATGTACAGTAGTGATACGTACCTCCTCCTTGCCTGCTCACTGCACTCCATCATGATGTGGTCAAATCATTAAGGTCAAGGCGGGGGTCCACGTAGGACCCACCACCAACATTGCATGCATACATGCATGCACGTACGAGATTTCGCCTTCATTATTTGAAGGCCCATTTGGAGTTTGCTTTGCGTTTCACCATCTAATAAATGAGAACAAACAACTCTTTAATAGCTTGTTGTAACCATGCAGTCTTTCGACGGGATGATGGAGACCAGATGGTGGGTTGAAGGACGACCATCCCAAGTAAACCAGTAAAAAGAGAAGACGGTGGAGGTTTGACAATGGCGCTTCTCTCTCCCTCGTTCACCACAAGTTTCAACATCTGCCAAAGCTGCCACAGAAGGAAGTCATGTGGAGGCACACTCCAAAGATCCCCCTTCCTAATCAATGAAAGCCCTCCCTTACCTACTTTTATGTGCATGTTTTCATCACACCACCAGTCTTTAAGATTCATTGCTATTATTCTAGTAAATTAGCACTCCAAATAAATATCTATTTCTTTTCAGCACCTCAAACTTTCGCTTATATCATCTTCTTCTCGAGGGAGGCTGACTTTGCCCTCTGTGTTCAAACTCCTGATGTCCTTTAGACAACCAATGTTGATGCAAAAGAGAAAGGAAATCATCCCATTTCCACTACTACAATACTTTTGTCACTGACTGACCCTGAAAATATCAGTCTGATACATGCCTGTACATCTACCACTTGTCTGATACTGCACTAAGAAAACAGGACTTGGTAACGATCGAATCCTTGAGAAGAATCAATACTGAATGTAATCAAGGTTGCAGTATCATCTACAGCGCAGTGTAGCAGAGCTCCATGCAGAGGTTAGAGTCCAGCAGCTCCTCTATCATCTGCTCTATGTGATGCTCCTCCAAGTAGCTCAACTCTACCTCATCTTTCATGATCCAACCGCTCTCTACTTGTTGCTGCTGCACAGCCACTGCCAGCTTGTTCTGCTGCTGATCGCCGATGGCGATCGAGATCTTGTTGTCAGCGGTAAACGGAGGCAGCGGCTCTTGCACCGGTGAGGCTTTCGCTACAGGCTGGGGTGCTTGATGAGATGCCAAGTTGTAGCGGTGTAGCTTCGCAGTAAGAGCGGCCGACAAGTAGTTGGGCTTCGACGAAGGACCACAGGTGGGATTGAAGGGGAAGTTGGTTCTTGCTCTCGGACCGCACATGAGCCTCGCTGCTTCATCGTAGGCTCTCGCAGCATCCTCCGCGGTCTCGAACGTGCCCAGCCAAATCCTTGCCTTCCTACAATAAAGTTCAATTCGAGAGGTAAACGACACAGCCACCGGTAATCGAGATGCAATGGACAAGCTGAGATGAATGTATACAGCAGAGGATGGCGAATCTCCGAAACCCAGGAGCCCCAGTGCCGCTGCCGAACGCCTCGGTATCGCTGCTGTGGCCTAACCATGGCAGCAACTTGATCTCCTCCTGTTCTCGTGGGCAATGGAGTGGGGTGAAGAGGAAGATGGTGGTAGCTTGGGAAGGATGCGGGGAGCTCTGTTCTCGAGGAAGAGAAAGCTTGAAGGGGCCGAGCAGAGGGGTTGGGAGAAGGAGGGGGGGCTCTCTATTTAGCTTTTATGTGAGAGAGGTGGGGGGTCCATCCAAAAGCAGTCTGTAAGCCAATTTAGTCTTAAGACCAACAGCGTTCGGTCGTCATTAATATTGTATTCCATTAGACTTCCTTGTTTTGCGCCTAAGTATGTGCTTATCTGACAATTACCTTCGGGGTCTTTGCATAATATAAATTATACCTCATGTAAAATGGTAAAAGCTTCATTGTGGTAATCCTATGTAGACATAATGACTGACTAAACATGCAATTGCTGATCATAATCCATATCTCATACATTCCTGCAATTAATACATTTCCCAGAGCACAGCATCTTATATCGAATCTCCAAACCTACCAGACATCTATGGCAGTGATTTGTCAGATGCTGGTCGATGACCCAAGTCATTTAGTTTAGGCTTATGTGTTCTATCTTTTTGGTTTGAGTTGTTTCCCTTTTCTCCTCGAAGAGGATCCCCATGAGATTGAATGAAATCCTCTGAACCAGCATGGCTTTGAACACCGCAGGAAGGAAACAAAGCAAGCAGTTGAACACGTATTCCAAGCAGTAGGTATCTCCTGCATTTTATCCAGGGTTTTCTTCTTGGAAGCTGTGGAGCAACACCTCCCATGGCGTGTCTTTCCTTCTTTTTACCATGACAGATGCAATGCACCAAACCCAGATACATACATATGTATATATCCGCTGCATGTGTTGCAGTCAACTACTGCATGGCTTTGGAACCTTGTGGGGCGGAGACAGTGCAGACCCATGCCCTGCTGCCTAAAGGAAGGAAACCTGTGCATATGCTGCATGGAGTCTCAGGGAAGACGACAACAAGTAAGTGATAGCTGCATGAACCTCCTGGCCGACGTGAGAAGAGCCTCCACTTCCCTCGAACAAGTTCTCACTGCAAGCCAAGTCAAACAGACAAGACTTCTCATGCCGCTGCTGCTGCCGCTGTTTCTGCCGCTGTTTCTGATTCCTGCAGCATCCATTATTGGCCAAAACTAGCATGGGGTGATCCTTCATATTCCCACAGTCCACCTGACGTTGGTTTTCTGTGCACTTCCATTGAACCAGAACCAGTGATGACCTCCACTGCTCTCAGCTTCAATCTGCCGCTGTAGGTGTCAGACATAGTCATGCGGAGCGTATCAGGTGGAGGTTTGCGCATAATGGCCTTCGGTGTTCTTGGCGTTGTGCTGCTGGCATTCTGTGGATGACTGATCGAAGTTTCCAGCACCACTATTAAGCTGCATGGCTTTGTCCTGTGAATGATGCTTCCTCATTCAGGGAAAGGAAGGATTCCATGGAAGTCCATATTCCTCCTACTAATGATGTACGATTGATGTTCTGGTCGACGATCTTCTTGACTCGAAATCAAACTCTAATATAAGATAAAGAATGTTTCAGACTAAGTTAATGATAATAGATTTATCCAACTCTTATATTAGTATCAATGAGGAGGACTGAACTGAGGAGCTAAAAAGGAAATTACTAATCTCAAGCGCTGATTTGATTTCTATGATAGATTATGAGTTGTACCAATAATGTTGCTTTGGATAATATTCTTTGGGAACTTGATACCTTAATTCACTATTAATTCTGAAACATAAAAGCTACAAAAAAAATCATAACAAAAAGTAACTCAATCATTGTTAATTTCAGATATGCCCACATAATATTAGATCATCACAAGATGCTGATAGGAGAATTGATCCATTAATTGTAGATTTTTTATATACTCTTTATTTTCAAGATAGGACTAAATTGAAATATCACATGAATGATTGATTCATGTATCATCTCCAAATTTGACTCTATTAAAACACATTCATAGATTAGTATTATGACATGTGAAATCAAGTTTTGGATATCATATACATGGAGTGGTGGCTCATGGAAATCAATTTGGATTGGCTTCCTTGTGATAATTTTTTAGGTTATATTTGTGCATATAAATGAGAATAATTGAACCTTGATTTGGACTTTGAGATTGTTAAATGTTATCACCAGGTGTGGCAATCAGCAATCCAAAAGCCTGAACATGCTATATCTACACAAGAAATATGTGTAATCCATGTCCAATTTGGGTTCATCCGATCCCAACCTGAGTCACTTTGGATGATGAAGACGCTACTTGTTCAACACTAAATCTTATTTACATACACTTAAAAGCAACTAAAAGCGATTGTGTTTTGTCGATTAAATTCGATGCCAAACAGATATTTAGAGAACATTTATTTCACTTCGATTTATTTTATTTTATGAACTAATTATAGACATAATTTTATAATTTTATTTTAACATGAGTATATTTCTCAAATGAATAATACTTTGTAAATGACTTCTACTGATAATAGATAATTAAATAAATAATATTTAATAATCTTAAGTTTGTTAGCGTAAATTTTGATTGTTTGAGTTAGAATAATGATTTGGATCCAATCGAGATCCATTTCCAATCAATCACAATTCAAATCACAATTCGTAGAGTGTCTAACCAACAAAAAAAAATAAGTTTGAGATGTTCTCGATAAATATCTCTCCGATAATTAAGTTAATTTTGAGGTTTGTTCTGATCAAATTAATTAGTTAATATTGAAAATAAATTGTATATGTGTGAGAGGATACCCTAGCATCCCTTTTATAGGTGATGCTGGAGACGATTACACTCGAGATCACCAACAATTGAGGGGGTGAGGGGAACCTGCATTGTTTGAGGTCGAATCGTGACACGACGCTAACGTCGTTGGCTCGATCAAACATGCAACGCATTCCATTCGTCGTTCATCCCTAAATTTTGGATTGCAGTCAATGGATTCAAGATACAGATGGAAGTGTTACGAGGGCAAGACCTAGTGGTGGTAGCTTTGGAACCCCACTTCCATTGTTTCAAGTACAAGCATGTAGAACAAGTGATCGAGATGTTTTCCCATCAAAATTTTGATACCTTATTCATTCATCAATCGTTTATCTTCCGTAAAATTACATTTAATCTCTTATTTACAGTTCTATCTTTGCAAACATTCAAATGAAATTCTTTCGTAGTATTATTATTCATGGTGTCTTAAAATGATTTAAAGGGTTAAGAATACAGATTAAGTCATGTTTCATCTTCTGTCTTAATCCTCTAGATGGAGAGCATGATAAAAAAAAAAATTAAGGTGGTATCTAAATGGAATATATATATATTTTAATTTGGTTTCGAGCTTCGTATTGGGTTTGAGGTGGCATCCAGACATTGTCTGAGTATTGAGACTATAAAAAAATGAAGAGATCATATATAATTTTTTTTACAAGTTTAAACTTTTGGATTAAGATGATGGTTTTATTTATTTGTTTATTTATATTATCAACATTAAGAAGGATCTCTGTATGCATGCACTCTCCAATCCAACACGGCTTGGCTTGTTGACCAAATTAAGTTATGGAAAGACCGGGGGGGAATCCAATGCTAGAGTGAGTCAAAGATGGTGTTTGACACAATCGCGGATCCGGACTTCATGGGATGTGTTCGAAGACGAGGTGGCTTATGATGAGGACGTGATCTCGGTGGCCATCATGGTGATGGTGCTTGGGAGCTGGGGAATCCATGGCACGCAATGGCATCCGAGGACGTGGGATCGACAACCATGCATGATACACTCGAACATGTCACCATCCAACCATGCATGCAATGGGGTTAAGAAAGACTTTTTGAGGTTTCGTCTTTTGCATTCTTCTTTTCTTTTCCATTGAATTGAATATAATAAAGCATTCGGATGGATCGAGAGAGAGGTCATGGCCAAGAAAAATGAAGCACCACAAGGACATGTTCTTCCGTTTGAGAAATGATGAGTTAAATGTGGTTTTCTAGTTCCAGGGAGTTTCTCAAGTTGTATGACCGAGACAAAACAACTTGATTTGAGTAAGCCCAGCCTTGCAAGTCTATACAGATGGCATTCTAATGCAAATTAGAGTTGTACAAATTGAGTGAATATATTTCACACGGCTTCATGTGTTTAACAGCAAGTGTAGCCACGATTTCTTGGTCCAGTATATACCCCTTCCCCCATTCTAAATATGCCAAATAAGTAGCAATGAAAAAAATAGGATTCCATCATGGGCTCCTATTTTTGGTCACGATCAATTACAAGTGAAGTTTTAACACTTAAGCAGGCATGTCCTACGGTTCACAACTGTGGGGGACTTGGGATTTTAATCCGCATCGTCGGCTGTGAAATCAGGCTCAGGTGGCTTTTGCAATCTCACCAGCTCCCTAACACTACGGTTCCGGAGCCGATGCACACTTCGGAGGGCGTTAGCTGCAAATCGTGATGCATAGATGGCTGCACCGAGGCTCGTTGTGCCCCCGACCAAGTTGTTTCTGAGTCCTGCCTCCTCTTCCCGCTGTTGGAGATCCGCCATCTTCCTCCTGGCATGGCGCCGCCATGCGGCTTGGATAAAGCAAGCTGCCCACGTCCTCCACAGCTGCGAGTAGAAGCGAAATGTATGCTGAACTTGCCTGCTATGGAGTCGCCTGAACTGGCCTGCCACGAATTTTAGTTCATCGGCGTTTAACGCGAAAGCTTCGACCTCCTTCAGGGCCTTCACTGTCCTAGTCGAAGTTGGAAGATTACCACTGGACTTGGGATCCAAAGCCCAGGTCAACAGCTCCTCGCCACAGAAATCACGCTCTTTCAGAAAACTTCTATTGAAGAACCCACTTCGTCCACCGTCAGTGGTTATACTCTCCAGTCGTCCACGAATGATGAAGAGCATCTCATCGACCGGATCTCCCTCCCTCAGAATATATGTATTCTCTGTAAAGAGAGTGGGTTTTAGTCGCTCACAAATTGCATCCAGCAATCGTTCATCCAGATTCTCGAACAGAGGGACCTGCAGACCGAGAAAGGAGTCCAAGTCTATAAATTTCAAGTATCTTGGTGATAGGAAATTACCAATTATCAGACAGACAAACCTACCCTCTTAACCAATGCCAAACAGA